GTTTGATGTATGCTCAGGTTTGTACAAGACCTGATTTAGCATACATTGTTGGGATGTTAGGCAGATATTTGAGCAATCCAGGAATGGACCATTGGAAAGCAGCCAAAAGGGTCATGCAGTATTTACAGAGAACAAAGGAATATATGCTCACATATCGGAGATCGGATCAGCTTGAGATCATTGGGTATACCGACTCTGATTTTGCTGGATGTCAGGATTCCTTAAAATCCACTTCGGGCTACATCTATATTCTGGCTGGAGGAGCTATCTCCTGGAGGAGTATCAAGCAGACTTTTACAGCGACTTCCACCATGGAAGCAGAGTTTATAGCATGTTATGAGGCATCCAATCAGGCATTATGGCTGCGAGATTTTGTTAGTGGACTGCGCATAGTGGATAGCATTGAAAGACCACTTAAGCTATTGTGTGACAATAGGTCAGCAGTCCTCTATGCTAAGAACAACAGTAGTTTGACCAAGGCAAAACACATTGGGGTCAAATTTAAGGCTGTTAAGGAACGAGCACAAGAAGAAAAGTTATCTATAGAATACATTAGCACAAACTCCATGGTTGCGGATCCGCTCACTAAAGGATTGCCACCCAAAGTGTTTCATGAGCATGTTGCTCAAATGGGTGTCAAATCAGTTGAAGATTATGAGTTTTAGTGGGAGTTTGTAATGTTTCTATAATTTTGGTTAATTCAGTTTTTTAAGGATATTTTCTGCAGAAATAAAGTACAAACTTTAAAGTTTAAATTTTTATGTACTCTTACAGTTACATTATTGATCTCAAGGTGGACCAGTTGGAAATAGACATTCTATTCCAGACCACACTTCATGTTATTTCCATGTTACACACCTATACTTGATCCCTGTCGTTTATTATATTAATATATGTGATCATTGATGGGTCTAGTTATGTGAATATAGCAAAGACTTCTTTGGTCCTATGTTGATATAGTTAATGGACCGGATTGATTAAAGATGACTACAGTTTGATAGCAAAATTCTGGAGCTCCTAAAGTAAACATACAATACTAAGGATTGTGTATACATATGTGTATGTCGTCCAAGTGGGAGATTGTTAGATTATTGGACTTATACTACATATAATATTCACAATATATTATTTATTGGGTTAATTGTATGTTATATGCTATGTTATATTTAGCCCAAAAATTAGTGGTCCTATGGATATTAATTTAAGTGGGCTAATAAGTTATCTAATAAGGTATAGGGCCCAAATATGTAGAGACCCACGGGCTTAACCTAATTAATGATGGGCTGATTAGGGTTAAGCAGGGATAAGGGTCAGTTTGGTCCCCGAAGTTGCAAAAAAGGAGTCAAATAAGTCCTTATATAGAAGATTCTATCCGGAAGTGCAATTTAAGGTGGCTCCCGGTGGAATTTTTTGATGAAATTTTTTGAGCATCTTATTCATTAAGTCTAGTTTACTCATATCAAATTTCAGATAAAAATTAAATCGGGAAGACATTCAAATGAATTCTTGAAGATAATTGTGCCGTTAAAAGCGCAATTATCTTCAAGAATTCATTTGAATGTCTTCCCGATTGAATGTTTAGCTGAAATTTGGTACGAGTAAACTAGACTTAATGAATAAGATACTCAAAAAATTTTATCAAAAAATTCCACCGGGAACCACCTCAAATGGCACGTGGGGACATAATCTTCTATATAAGGACATATTTGATACCTTTTTTGCAACTTCGAGTACCAAACTGACCCTTTACTCGGGTTAAGCATTCTCTATAAATAGAGGGGTTATGGTCCCTAGTTGAACACGCCATTCCGTCTTTCTGCATCTCATCGCTAGAGAGATAATTCCCGAGGGTGTGTATCAACTAGAAGACGCAAACCCTAGCCTCCGTCTCCCGGATCTCTAAAGATCATCTCCAATGGAGTCAGGTACGCTTCCGCTCAGTTAATTCTCTAGATAATTCCAATATGAAGATTAAAGTATTATCGGATTTATTCCAACAGTTCTATGTGATCTAGTTGAGATGAATATTTATTGTTTAATCAATATGAATTCTTTAAGTTAAATATAAAAAAAGTTAATTAATACTAATAATTAGTAAAAACATATAAACAGTATAGCTACGTTATTACAGACAATGAATGTGTAAATGAATTCATAAACTAAACTAAACATAACACAAACATTATTTCTCTAGCACAAGAAAACCATAGAGTATTAATGATATTAGGATTAGTTAGGATTAATGCTTAACAATTGACAAATAAATTTTATATTTTAATTAGTTCGGTTGTTCGGTTTGGTTTGGTTTTGAAGGGAAAAAACCAAAACCGAACCAAACAACTACGGTTCGGTTCGGTTTTTTATATTTGGTTTCCGTTTGTTAGCGGTTCGGTTTTATTTGGCTACGGTTCGGTATGATTTGATTCGGTTTTCGGTTTTCGGTATTTCGGACTCAGCCAATTTGGACCACTTAAAAAGAAGTGTAACATTTTAATTTATTAAAAGTGACACAAACTATCTGACCACATATTGAGTCATGAGAAATGACGAATGAATTTACAAGACAACGCGTTCTCGTTTTCACTGTTACTTGAACTGCTTTTATTGCTTATTGTTTTTCTTATTTTATTCAGATCACATCAAATGAATAAAAACCAGATCATATCTAACCAGATAAAAAATGATTCCGATCAGATCAGAAAGATTCAGATCATATCAAATAAAAGAGATAAGGGTCAGATATGGTCTCGAACTTGAAAAAAAATGTCAAATAAGGTCATATTTAGGATGCTCTGTCCGGCCGACGCCATTTGGGGTGGTTCCCGGTAGAATTATTTGATGAAATTTTTTGAGAATCTTATTCATTAAGTCTAGTTTACTCATATCAAATTTGAACTAAAACTTTAATCGGGAAGGCATTCAAATGAATTCATGAAGATAACTGCGCTTTTAACGGTACAGTTATCTTCTCGGCTTCCGCGTCAAAAGTGCTTTTACTTTTTCTATTACACAAAAAACACTTATTTTACCAAACACTACCCCTTTTACTTTTAAAAATTACTTTTTTCTCAAACACTATCAACTTTTATTTAATCACTTCTCCCCATTTCATTAAAAAAACACTTTTTTAAAAGCAGAAGCGGTTGCAAACAGACCCTTACTAGTCGGAGTCCGTTTAATTAAAAAGATATTTTTCAAATGAATTTTATCCCCGATTCCCCTGAAAGTTATCCATATAGAAATTGGATGATTTAAAACTATCAATCTAATACATAAACTATGATGGATTTTTTTATTTTTTATTTTCATCTCTAGTAGCATTTAGTTTTACTAAACTAATGCAGTTTTGTGAAGAAAAACCCAGCAAACTAGCAATGAAATAAAAAAATTGAATAATCAAAATTAATCATGTTTTAGAACAATTAACAGTTTTTAATCATTCGTGCCTGACAATTTTCATATTCTTGATAGAAAGTTAACATATCTTTCAATTACTTGATTGAAATTATTTTCAATAGGAATCGATAAGACCATTTCATAAATAAGTAACCATTCCAAGCTAACAAACCTAATGTTCCCGTTTGTAGTTCTGACAAATTTTCATACTCCATATTTCAAAAGGCAAAGAGAGCTGTAACAACAATGCTGACAAGAACTAAAGAAGGCAAATCTCCAGACTATGCTACTCATCCCTGACTGAAGAATAGATCTATTTTCACAACTTTTATTTTTGCTCCTTCTGAAGATAGCAGTCCCAAAAATGTACTCATATTTTACTTAGAGCTAATTGCCTTGCACAGTTGCATTCAGGTTTGACTATTCAGGTTTGACTACTTTTGTAAGGGAAGACAGGAAGATTCAAAAAAGAATAGAAAAGCACAAGTAAATATTAGGAAGAACTGCAATCACCCTGATCTCTTGAGTCTCAGTTTGATGGTTCTTGTATGTCAATAAAAATTTGTTGGCAGTTGTTGTACTCTATTCCTGTAGATGGTGTTAATCTTAACTTAAGTTCTTAACCTGTTAGTTACCTTCCCACCCATGGAGCAAATAGTTGGTCAGTGTGGCAAGTTTCAGCTACTAGACAAACTTGTTGGGAAACTGCTTGAACTAAAACACAAGGTGCTTAATTCCTAAAATGAGTTTGAATTTAAGAATGATGATGTTCTGCAAACGTCTTACCTCTTAGCAACATACGGAGTAGCATTCATATCTTCTCGGGCCGGTTCGGGCCTCGGTTCATGAAAGGGGAGGCCCGGAACCGGCCCAGGTAACCCCCGGGTCCGGGTCGGGCCGGGCCTCGGTTCAATTTTTTTTTTTTTTGACTTTTCCTAATTAACCCCCAACCCTCCCCCCTCACCCCCAACCCACCTCAAATGGCCCAAAATACCCAGCCCAACCCAAAAACTAAAAGAAATAAAAAAAAAAAAAATAAATAAATTGGCCCGGACCGGGCCCGAACAGGCCGGGCCGGTTCACCTTTTGAGGGACCCAAGCCCAGACCGGGACCCCAGCGGGTCGGGCCTACCCGGACCGGTCCCTGGCCGGGCCGGTGGTTCGGGCCGGTTCAAACAGTGACCGGGCCGGGCCGCCCGGCCCGAGTCCACCCCTATTTTTTCTTAATAATTGATGGCACACTAAAATGCTTGACATAATTGAGTACTATTCTAGTCCAAAGAATTTGGAAGTCCGCAGAATTGGCCGTTTATTGTAAATTAGTGGTCTTGGACTCTTGGGAGTTTGTTATAATGTAGATACATAAAGAAAAATCATTATTTTTTCTGAGTTTTCTTTGATTTGAACAGATTCAACAGTTCAATGATGTGAACAGCACTTATATGATATTCCTTCTGAGTATTAGAGTTGAGGGGTTGAGAATAAATCTCACCTCTGCTAAATGCTAATACTTCCATTCTATTTTATATGATAGTGATTGGGTACTAAATTCATCTCTTCACGCCCATCTTTTCTTGTGTCTATCTTTATCTATTAACATTTCTTCTAATTCCAACTCATCAAAGGTATGTGCAAATGTAATCACATACAATTAAAAAATATGGAGTAACTTCTATGAAAAAATGTGTTTGTGTCATTCAATGGCAATTTTGAATGTTCTACAAAACAAACAATATTAATTCAATAATAATTACCTTTAAAATCAATGCTTTGCAGTGTGGATGTTGTTGATGGGTACAACGCTTTCGACATATCTAAAAACAGCATGAAGAATGCCATATTTACCCGAAAAAAGGACCTTGACTTCATTAGAAGTGGGATCAAATAAAAAACTACCAGTAGCATCAATCTCATAATTCCCCTCTACTGAATATCTAGGAAAAACATCACAGACAATCCGGTTCCTCCAAATGGTCAATGGTATGGCAAAGTGTGGATAAGGTCCACAAGTCAATATCTTACTCCAAGAACCACCAATGCCTTCCTCAATGACCCACAAATCGATCGAAGTATTTCCTGTGCTTAAAGCACTAGAATAATGAAATATGGCAAGCTTGTTCTCATACAAAGTCAGCTTAGCAACTTCGTTCCTGGATAAAGGAGGCGGTGATATCAGTCTGACCTCGTCCATTGCTAAACACAAGGAAATTATGACATTGTTATTCTCTCCCCCATGAGGTGCCAAACCACTCTTTGTTGCCAACCAAAACATAGACCCATTAGTATTAATGCAATCACTGACCAAGCGCATGTCCTTTAAGATAGCAATTTCTAGTTTCTTCCATGAATGCGTGGATAGTGAATAAACTTGAAATACATTTTCCACCACATCACCCCCGTCGTATAGGATATGCTAATTTTGTAATCGTTCATAGTTGGAATGAATGCAAAGCCCAAACTATGAATATAACATATATCCATGCTTGTTCTGTATCTAGGCACCTGTATAACCTCTCTAGTCGCAGGATTCCACAAGTAAAGAGACAGTGCATTACCAAGCTCCTCGATTCGAACACAGAGCAAGCCGTTGCAAGCCGTTGCAGGAGCCCAATATCATGAGGGACTTGAACGAATAGATAAAAGGATTGTCCTGAATTTGGCAGAGTTGCATGTCGCGGTCGAGACAATATAGATTCGAGGTATCGGAGTAGGAGCTCCGTCTGAAAATAAGAGAGGGATCTTCTCCGGTGGAGCAGTCGAGGTGGCTGGCAATGAAAGATGGGCTCTTGATGAGATTCCTCCAAAGAGAGCACACACTTTGGAATCGGATTAGGGATTTCACAGCAAGTCGCTTGAGAACGTCGGAGATGATTTCAATCGGAAGAAATGGGGCGCCGCTACTCATCTCCCCTAATGTCTGGTTTTACGCTTCTTAATACAAATGCAAAGAGGATTTTAACAGACCTAATATATTATGTCCAAATCATTGATCAATCATTCAATATGAAAAACAAAATGAGAATGAGGGGGTCTTATTCCTGGGAAAGAATTTTGCCATTTGTACACATTGAGTTATACATTAGACCATATGCATCCCTATGTAGTCTAAAAACTTAAAAAACTTAGAATCGATCAATATTGTTTTTCCTACAGTCCAACACTGTCCATAAAATACCGTCAACATATTTTTTTAAATACGGAGTATCAGTTTATGAAAGCATTTATTTTAATTATTATAAGGAATGCTATTTTTTTGTTTTTAAAATTTGAATGAATCACTATGAAATTAAAAAAGTACACATTTTGATGTTACAAATATTTCATTAAAAAATAAAATGAGATCATTGCAAATATTCTACAGCTTTTTAATATTCCAAACCCCAATTACAATTCATCAGTGAAACATATTTCATCTCTTGGTGGATTGAAACTGGGTCCAAGAAATTGACTGATTTATTCATACATAATTGTCCGGGGATTATAGTTTGCCATATACTCCGTATGAAAAATCTACGCTTGTTTTACGTGGGGAAAAGAGCAATTCCATCTGTTGTATACACGATTCAGCAGATAAAATTCTACTCCCAGAAATGAATTTCGAATTTCTGGAAAACAAAAAGTAGCTCTATTGACAAATTTCTCTATGAGGAAGAACTTATTCCTCACAACTTCAGATTCAGTAGGGTTCAATTTCGAAGTGGGAAGTGAGTTAAAGCAAACAATCAGGTTAAGCTTAAAGTTGACACATCTTTCTTACCTCACAAAGCATCGGGTGGTGCTATATTGAGAGACCGGAAGGTTGAGCTGGTTTCTGCTACGTCATTTCTCATCCAAGCAAGCTTCAGTGAAGAGGCAGAGCTAAAAGCAGTATCACATGCGACGGAATTGACTATTGAAGCTGGATTCCTCGATTTCCAGATTGAAACAGATGCTCAGGGTGTTATCTCTCTCATGAAAGATATATACGAGAAACGGCCTGTGAATATGAAAGGCTTCATTATCGGACATATATGGACTCTAGATCGGACATACCTGGAGGGAGGCCTACCGGGTTCAGCCCAAAAATTACTATTACCTCCCTTAAAACTTTGCAAGGTTTTACCGGCACGAGATTAATAAAAAAAAAACTATGTGCTTTGTGTTTGTCTAGAGGAGAGAAAATTAACTGGAATTACAAATTTTTCACGGAAAATGATAAAGTTAGTAGAACATTCAAAAAAAGAAGTTGAAAAAGTTTTAAGGGATAGAGAATATTCTCTTTGGGTCTGACTATGCCTCATATGATGAACGAGTATTTACGAAATTAGTTTCCCTATCGGATTAAAATTATTTATCAAAGTATTGCTGAAATAATTTGGCCTATCGTATTAAAATTACTTGGTATTTAGCAAAATATTGCTCAAGTAAACTATAGTTACGAAAAACTAGACCTGCACAAAAACGGGTTCGGGACTGCCTGGCCTCCAAAAAAGGGGCCTAACCCCAAGTCCATACCCGCCCGTAAGAGCGGACCGGGTAGTTCACCGGGCCGCCCAGCCCGGTAAAAGTTTAAATTTTTCAAAATTACTCCCTCCGTCTGATTTTGTAAGATACATTTTCCTTTTATGGTTGTCCCAAAAATATGAACTCTTTCCAAATTAACTTTTTACTTTTCCCCTCTTGCCCTTCTTGCCGTAATACATATTACCCGTCCCATTAATTAGTTGATATACTCAAAGCTATTGTTTCTTGCGCCATCATTAATTAGTGGACCCAAAACTATTAATTGATGACTCTGTATATTCCTTTTATACACCGGAATTCATTCTTGTGTGCCATGTTTAATTCTTGGGGAGTAAAATTGGTTCCCACTATATACAAGAGTATTAAACACAAAGTAAATATGGAGTATTCCCTATGCTCTTTCACACTATAGTCTGTAGGAGTATAAACATACGAAATTATTATGAGTAATAACTTTGCAACACCATAATTACGGAGTATAAGGAAGTGATGACCGTGCATGTACCCACCGAAGGGTAAAAACGGAACAGTGATACCATTTCTCTACTTTTATTAAAACTTGTGCCAAAAGTAAATGTATCATACATTTTGGGAATGAGGGAGTACATAATTTTTTATTACTTTATAAAAATATTATAACATTAAAAAAATTGTTAATACGCTTATAATGTTTATAAACCTTTCACCACATGCACAAAAAATACTTACACAAAATAATAAAGAGAAACTATATCTAAAATTTAAAATTCAATCACAAAGTATTATCCTTAAGTACAAAAATAGATATTATATTAGTTGGGCTAGTTGTTAAGAACTATAAAATATAAATATGTATAAAGATAAATTAATAAATATAAATATGCACGTGTACATGTAAATAAATAAATAAATAAATAAGTATATACATAAAAATATACAGAGTATATGTATATATACTAAATGAAGCGGGCCAGCCTTATCGGCCCGAATGGGCCTACACCCTATCCAAGCTCGTCCAAATGTTATTGCGGGCCGGGCCCAGACGGGGCAAGTGAGTAAATATATATATCTAAGCCCGCCGATTTGTGCGGGCGGGTTGGGCGGGTCAGGCGGACCGGACCGGTTTTGTGCAAGTCTACGGAAAACCCCAAACCGATGGGCGATTCTCTAAGTAATATGGACAGAGCGCTGACTGCTGAGTGCATACGAACGAACGAAGCTTTGCTGGGAGAAAACAAGTATGGGAAGAGAGGGGTGAAGCCAAGGTGGAAGAGAGGGGAGACAACACGCTGGTGGAAGCGATAAGGCATGTTTTGCCATTAAAAGCTTTGAAACTCTCACATGGTATGCGAATAGTCTCGCTCCATCGGGGACGATCTATTCTAAGTCTAGCCAGAGAGTGAGGGGCCTTTGGGCTATTCGGAGCCTCAAGAGGAGCTTTGGCGAGGTAGGGGAGGTAGTACTTTTAGAGGTTTGTGTGAGGAGGTTGGTCATTGTAAGGGGGAAGTATGTTGCGATCTTTGATTAATATAATATAATCAGTTTCCTTTAAAATAACAATTTGATTTCCGATAGGGAAGATAATAGGGCTGAAATGAATAAAATGTGTATTGTGTGATTTATTTGAACTCGTCTGATTCCATGATTAGAAAGTTGAAATTTTAGAGAGCTAAAATTTTGTAGAATAAATTAGATGGACTATCTACTGAAACCTCTTTGTATAGTCGGATGTTTTTAGGAAAGTTCCCGAAATAGGACTAAAAAAATTTAAAATTCCAAAATAGGACTGACATATTTTTATTCCCAAAATAAGAGTAATTACTATCGTGTTTGGAAAATACCGTCATGTTTGAAGTCTGGTACTGCCAAAACATGACAGTAATTAGTCTTATTTTGGGAATAAAAACATGGAAGTCTATTTTGGAATTTTCAAACTTAAAAAGTTTTTAAATTTATATTGGATATGTAAGGGACATTGATTAAAATCTAGATGTTCTTACCACACTTATTATGATATTAAGTTGTGTGGTGAACTGGTGATAAGCATATAAATGATTATACTCCTATTGTTTTTTAAGTGCTACTCCCGATTCCATTTGTGATGTGAAATTTGCTATAAAGTACAGTAGAGATAATGTGACCTTTGACAATGAGGTTAACCGTCTTAAGAGTAATGAGTTAGATTTAAAATAAAACATATCGGTGAGAGTAGAAAATCTGAGGAGGTTATGCATGTGAGTGGTGGGAAATGTTGTTCTCAATATTAGATTCATCCATCATAACTTTTAGGGAAAACTGTCAAATAGGTCCTCGAACTTTCATAAAAAAGTCAATTAAGTCCTTCTATAGGACTCTGTCCGGTCGTCGCGATTTAGGGCGGTTCCCGGTGGAATTTTTTGATAAAATTTTTTGAGCATCTTATTCATCAAGTCTAGTTTACTCATACCAAATTTCAGTTAAAAATTTAATCGGGAGCGCATTCAAATTAATTCGAGAACGCAAAAATGTGCAGTTATTTTGAATGTGTTCCCAATTGAAATTTGGTATGAGTAAACTAGACTTGGTGAATAAGATGCTCAAAAAATTTCATCAAAAAATTCCACCGGAAACTGCCCCAAATCGCGACGGCCGGACAGAACCTCCTATAGAAGGACTTAATTGACCTTTTTATGAAAGTTCGAGGACCTATTTGACAGTTTTCCCTAACTTTTATGTTTTTTATTCCAAATAGGACTTGCTATGTTTTTTTATTTCAAAATAGGACCATATTAGTCATATTGGAAACATACGTATTTTTACATTCTATTCTTACCCCTCCTTTAAATTTGAGTAAAAGATAGTCAAAAGTCATATTTAAATGCTTAATTCATAATAAATTCGAAAAAAATTAAAAAACTCATAGAAAAATAATAAAAAAATTAACAAAATATTTATATAAAAAATTAAAAAAAAACAGTAAAAATCCATTAAAAAATTAAAACAAACATGGATGCCTTTCCCACCGCCTATACTGCGCACCTCCCTGCACCTCTATCTTCGACCAGTGTCAGAACTGTCATTTTTTTTCTTGAAAATGTCAAAATAATGACATATGACTATTTGTGAATGTCAACATTTTCATTATTTTTGCCAAAACTATGGCATTCCTAATCCAAGTGACATTTTTCCCTTGATGACCGGAGGAGGTAGTGTTTTTTTTTTGCGTTTCTTATTTTTTTAAAAAAAACTTTTTAAGGTTTTTTTTTAATTTTTTTTTTAAATTATTACTCCTTCCGTCCCCTTTTAAATGTCCCATTTTACCATATCGGGATGTTCTATTTAATTGTCTCATACCTTATTTGGTAAAGTTTGTGTAACTCGAAATCATTCTTAATTTATTTTCTTACTTTATCCATTAATATCAACCACACAAACCTACTTTTCTTAAAACTCGTGTCACCCACTTCTGGGACATTTAAAAGGGAACATAGAGAGTATCATTTAAATATTTTTTTTATTAATGTTTTAGTATTTTTTACGTTTTTTTTTATTTTTTATTATTTTATTATGAATTAAAACATTCAATAGCAACAAGGGTATATTTGTCCAACACATACATAATTAGTCCTATCAAAACATAATTTACTTTTTGGTCTTATTTGTATAAACTAACAAGCTTTTAGTCCTATTTTGATAATTAGGATATTTTTACTCGGATTGTAATTTGTTGGTCTGGTCTGGTTTGGTCTGATACGGTCTGGTCTGAAGTGATTTGGTCTGATCTGTTTCTTTGAATTTTTGTATTTATCCAAGTGTGATCTTGTCTGATCTGATTTCTTTGTATTTTTATACATATCCAAGTCTGATCTGATCTGGTCTGGTCTGGGACAAATTAGCATCCAAATCCAAAGTAAACACATCCTTAACCCTTATATTACAAAATGCAACCAGACCTAACGCAAGATTTGCTGCGGCTGCAAGTGAGTATGAAGTATGAACCCGGCGAAGATGAGTAGCGGTGCTCCTTTCCTTCCGTTAGAAATCATCTCCGACGTTCTCAAGAGACTTCAGGTGAAATCCCTAATCCGATTCCAAAGTGTGTGCAATCTCTGGAAGAATCTGTTAAAGAGCCCATCTTTCATCGCCAGCCACCTCGACCACTCCAACCGAGAAAATCTCACTATTATTTTCAGAAGGATCCCCTACTCCTTTACCCTTCTATATTGTCTAGACCGCAACATGCAACCCATCCAAGAACAATCCTTTTATCGATAGGTTCAAATCCCTCGAGGTCGTAGGCTGCTGCAACGGCCTGCTCTGTATTCAAACCAGGCAGCTTGGTAAATTACCGTCTCTTTACTTGTGGAATCCTGCGATTAGGGAGGTTAGAGAGGTGCCTAGAAGCAGACCAAGCATGAATTTATGCTATATGACTAGTTTAGGCTTTGCATTCTGTCCAACTGTTAAGGATTACAAAATTGTCATACCCTATGTGACCCCAAGTGATGTGGAATATGGATT